TTTCAGTTGTAGGACCTAGGGCAAAATGTATACAGCATAACTGAATCACAAAATTAAATACTAAATCAGTAACATATATAAGTTATAATTTCGAGAGGTATAGCTGATGGAAAAAAACAATAAAAAAAATCATCTAATTATAACTGTTGCTTGACAAAAATTTATTAATATATTGAGCTTAATAGAAATTTTCACGGCAAGCATTGTATCGTTTTTCCGGCAAAGAACTGAGACAAACTTTACTATAAAATTTATTTAAATTTATTATAATTTTCATAAAAGTATCGTATAATTTTTTCTGTTAAAATCCAAGTCAGGTGGGTCTTTGAAATTAATTCATGCATAGTTTTCAAAACATATTTATGAAAAGGCTAAATTTTCAATTGATATCAGGAATTGTGAAGAACAGATAATAAGTAGCAACCAGAGAAAAAGTTTTCAGTTTAGCTTCTAATTCATTTTTTAGAAAATTGGAATTTTAATAATTAACAAAGAAAATTAAATTCTAAACATATTTCAGCAGTCATAAGTGTGTTATTTAAACGTAAGAGTAGAATAAATATGCAGTACTATTATATAATATATAACATATATTTAGAGTTTTTTTTTTAAATTCTTTTTACTTATATCAAATCCTAATTTTGCATCTTAAGATTTTTCTCCTGTCTCCCAACTAATATTTCACAGAAAAATAAGCAAACTTATTACAAAATTTATACGTTACTTTCTACTTCATTAATGTTTTAAAGAAGGGGAAAATTTTGAAATACATAAACAAATATTTTGGATATAACTAAATATTTTAGATACAAGTAATTAATACCTAAAAAAATTAAGTGAAAAAAAACAAGGATGAAAACCAGAAAAATGATGTGGAAATATAAAAATAAAAATTAGTGAATTAATGCTGTATCAATACTAGTACTTTAAATGAAGCAAATGATGAATTAAAAAATAACCCCCCCCCCTCCCAAAAAAAAAATTATCAGATTAAAAGAAATGAAATTAATATACTTTTTCTTATTTTCATAATTTTATCGAAAAATTCAAAAGCTGTCAAAAGAAAACAAAAAATCAAAAGGTAATTTCCCTAGTTGCTTTCCATGAACGTTACTAGACATCACAGGCAACATTGTATGTGTAGTTTTTAATTTATGCTCAAATGTTTTTGAGTAGTGCCTTTTATGTAATTCGCTCAGATATAAGAGGGTTTTTTATTAAATATATTCTACATTCATACTTATATATACTAAACATAAAAGTACGATCTAATATAAATTGAAAAGTATTGTTACCAAAAAAAATTTGGAAAGTATTACCAAAGGGATTAATAAAAGAAATGGTTAAAAGAACAACTACTTCAGTCACATTTCTGCCTTCCAAATGTATAATGCATTGCATAATGATGATGCTACTGAAATTATTTTCTGTAAAATGTAAAGTATAATGTGTTATGTGATTAGCTTTAATTTATAAAGGTTAATTTTAAAAGTTTTAAATTCATAATTAGCTTTAAATGGAATTTCTAATGAATGGAATTTCTTAAGTTAAGGAATGCAATTTCACAGTTTGAACAAAACTAATTAAAAATTATTTTTTCTAGTTCAGTTGTCATAAAAGAAACGGTGAATAACTGAGTCATTAGAAATTTTGGCTTTCAATTGATATTCTAAACTTTATATTTAAACATGGATTTTTTGCAAAAGGTACAGTATGATGAAAACAGGTATAGTCTATTTAAATAAAATGGAGATATTCTGGTCTATTCTTTTAAAATACTCATTACAGAAATTTTTTTAACAGAAAAATTTATTTTCGCACTCCTTGTCTAAAAATATGTCCATTTTGTAATATTGGAAATATATAATATATATCTGTTGATGTATTTTAACAAACCCTGAAGGACTAACCAGGCATGCAGAAAATTCACAGGGTCTAATATCTAAAACAGTTTTTTTTTTTTTTTTTTTCAATTACTTTGNGTTACAAAAACCATGTCAAAATATTTTTAGTAAGTAAGTAAAGACTGTATTTTGTTACATTTTCTCTTTAAATAAGAGAAAAATTTATTTCATTTTGAAAAATTCTCGATTTAATTAACCCATGTGCTAAAATAATAGAAATCGAAGTATATTGAAATAGTAATATTTTATAACTATACTTTGTTAAGTGACTTTTTTTTACAATTAAAAATTCTGAAGCCAATAATTTATTTAATTAAATCAAAAAATTTCTTAGGGCTGTCTGAGTTTCTCCCGAACCTTGCCCATGCGATCAGACACACGCTACACCCCTGGAGTTTACAATCCAAATAAAACTGCATTAAGTATAATACATATTCCACGTGATTTGTTTTATAGATAAGTAATGTACTAAGCAAAATTTTTAATAGTGTACTTTTTTCTTCTTCATGTATTTAGTTCATTTATATTATATCAGATTAATGAAATATGTTTAATTTCATATGTTTTCTTTCAAAAGTTACAAAGTTAAATTTATAAAACATTAAGTTGATAATTTCAAAGAATAATTTGGTGTGATAATTGCTAAAAAAAATTGTTTGGAAATTTATTCATTCAAGATAAACGTGAAAAAACCCACTTGGTGGACATAAAAGCAGGGTTTTTTCAAGTGGGCCCAATCTGCAAAAACCTGCTGGGTTCTTCTGGGCTGGACCCATGTTGAAGAACCCTGCTCGTGGGCCTGGATGAAATCCTTTACAAAAACTGAAATGTTTTTTAATTTAATGCTTTACAGAAATTAAAAACAACAGACCTTTTTTTTTACACATATTAGACCGGGACTGAAGAACCAGGGGGCAGAAGGGGCCTTAGCCCCCTCACATTTTATAAATGAAGGGACCCAGCCCCTTCTAACATTGTAATTTTTTCACTTGATATTTGTGTAATTAAATTTACAATTAATCGAATTCTTGATTGACATATTGAGAGGTCCAGGTAATTTGGACTCTGCATCTATATATATATACAGGGAGGGATGCGAGAGTCCTCCCCCCCTTTTGAGATACTTCTGCGTTCACTGATATTAGAAATATTCCATGATTTTTTTCTTGCAATTAAGCTTATCACAACTTAAGAAAATAATGATATAAGCCAATAAACATTAAATTTTCAATAAAGATATGCACGAATAAAACAATTTGAAACTTAGTATAAGAATAAAAATTAATATTTCTAAATCAGGTAAATTAGATACAACTTAACAAAAATCTTTTCACAAACAGCTTGCGGCTTTTGAAACGTACACTTTTTATTTTTTAGATGAATTTTGACCAATGTCTCATGAAACAAGAGTTCACACTTGCACATCACTAAGAACATTTAAAAGGGAAACCAGCTTAAAAGGTGCATTTTTACCAAATTAAATATGTAATTCATTATTTATAAATTTTTTCAATCAATAGTTTTAAAATGAATAATACGATTCAGCGAGATGATATCCATAATGGAAGACCAAGCCAAAGAAGATTATGTATGTTATAAAATAGCCACTATACAAGAATTTTTAAATTTATTATGCACAAATAGGAGAATATCTTTTATTTAAGTCATAAAAGAATCGAAGTCATTGAAACGGTTTCATGTAATGAGTCAATGAAAATCAGACTTTTTTTTATTTAAGCAATTAGAAATGATTTAAATAATAATAATACAAATTTTAATAGCATTAATTTAACAGAATATTTTTTAGAAGATGTAGGATAAAATTAAAGTTCAAATATTATAAAATTCATCATAATGAATAATAAGTGCATGTAAGGTCATAAAAACCATAATATTCCATAAAAAATATCAGGGTTTCTGTTACGGTAGCATTTTTGTTGCAAAATTTAAAGAGACTTATCAAAAATTCTAAAATAAAGCAAATTATTGCTTTTTTGCTAAAGCCACACCTAGAAAAACATTTATTAACAAGAGGTAAAAAATTAACACAAACAAATGATGGAAAAAAGGAGAAAAAATAAATAAAAAAAACATTGATTCCTCTAAGAAATTTTATTGTATTAAGGCAGTGGCGTAGTTTTAATGTACATTCGAGGGGGGTTATTGGATATCTCCTTCCAATATATATATATATATATATATATATATAATAACAGCAGACACTAGATCTGTCTCCTATCTAAACCAACTAATAAAACAATTTATAATCAATTAAAAAATAAAAGACCAGCACTAATCCGAAAGACCCATCCATTTGACAACTAAGAACTCTATAACTTTAAATCGATTACTTTTTTCGCTATAAAATTGAATTTTTTAACTGATAAACAATTGACTCAAGCAAAATATCTTACGAAGTCATATCAAACAGAATATCATATACAAAATATCAAATTTTAAATACTTTTTATATTTAAGAAAATTTTCAATATTTTTTACATTTAAGAAAAATTAATTTTAATAACTGTTAATTGCGTTTAAAATCATAGACTAAAAGAAAACCATTTTAATAGCGAAAGTTTTATATTACACATTATCACACACATTAAATTAAAAAATAAAATACAAAAATTACAGCACAACTTAGTATGTTAATTTAAATGTCCCTTTGCATAACTTCACTGTAGAAAATACATATTTTGAAAATTAGATATTAGTAGCCGGGATTTTACAGAAAGATAATATAATAAAATTTAATTTAAAAAAGATCGTAAACTCTTCAGATATTGAATACCTTAATTAAAAAACATTAATTTTGAAACATTGAGATGAAAATGTATAGGGAGGATATCATGACACACAACTTTAACATCGCAAAATGAAGTATCGCATAAATATTTCATAAATAAAACTGATTTTTCTCATAGAAAAAACTCTACATAAACAATTTTAATTTTCAACGTACACAAATCACGAATTTTTCATGTACAAGGTGATCGAACCAAAAAAATTTATATTAAGTGATCGACAGGTAAGGCATCCGGCAAAAAAAACACGTATACAAGCTATTGACAAGTTGTTGCAACGTCAACTTACCGGTCAACTTTTTCAATTTTAAAACAGAACCAATATATTTACATCCACAGATAACTTAATGTAGCAAGAGTTTGTCATCATACAATTTAAATCCATTAAAAACGATGAAAATTATCACATTCTTCCATTCTAAACGTATTTACATTTATTATACACACAACAGAAATGTCAAGTCTACCTCGATACCTGTCTAGCAGGTGCGACTCGATTCCTCTCAGGTAGAACCAGATGTTGATGTTTTGAGAAGTCATGTCAAGACCGGAGCGGGAGAGGGATGGGTAGATTTACTTATTTCAAATTAACTACAAAATATTGCAAGAGATGGCGCTAAAACATTTTCGTACATTTTGTACAGAAATATACTATTGATAATGGGAAATGATAATAAAAGTTAACTTCTACTTTCACTCAAAACTTTATTCGGAATTGTAAATAACATACATAGTGTAATGATTAGATTATCTCAATAAAATATATGAGGAGTGTATAAGATGAAAATATGATCCTAATAGTTGAAAGAAAAGACGGATTGAACTTTTAGATTTTGTATCTATTTTAAAAAAAACTCGTTTACTCAATAAATGATAGACAAATATAAGTATGAGAGTTTTTTTTCTTATGTAGTATATTAGTTAACTAATTAAGTTAAAATTATGTAGCATAATAGATAACATTTAAAAACTTTAATTTGAAAGGTATAAAAATGTTTACTTCCTTATGGTTGGTTGACTCACTATGTGAATAATTAACTTAACAAGAAAAAATTTAGAAAACTTCCGGTGTATTCCTCCGCTTATGTTATGCTTGCGAGGCGATGTGTGAGCAAGATTAATAAACTGTAGTAAACATAGCTCTGAAGGAAAAGAGCCGTGAAAGTTTCAGAAAATATTTTTGATAATTAAATGCAAAAAATATAATGGAGGGAGGAAATTTTATAGTACATTCGCATACAACTGAGCAGAATAGAAAAGGGAAAGGAAGATAGTCAAAATATGGAACCGGTCTTCTCCCCAGATGGGGTATTCGAGTGTTGCTATGGCGAATAACGTTTCTGGAGGAGGGAACTGACTGACAGTCGTTCGAGATTGAAAAAATGCTTCCTAGTCTGGCATCTTCCACGGCCAAGAACGAGTAGTTCAGTGCCTGCAGTTAGAAAAAAAGATAATCTATACAAAGAACACACAAAGAAAGAGGTTGTCAAGTGAAAATGAGTAAAACTTAACCAACCTGTTACTCTGTTACTGCTCAGCTTCGGAAGCCATTGACTATCGAAATGGGCTGTATGACGCGTAGACCCGAACTCTCTACATATAGCAACACTTTGCATGTTTTCACCATTAGCGTGTGAGGAGTCATAGGAGAAGGAAGTACGTCAGTATCTCTTTTGATTTTCAAATATATTAAAAGCTTTTAAGTTAGGAAAGTATATGAAATTGAAAACTACTTTGAATATATTCTAAAAGAAAGAGTCGTGGAAATTATAAAAAAATATTTGTGACAATTAAATACGAAAAATATTAAGAAAGGGAAAATATCTTAGTACATTCCTATAAAACTGAGAAAAGGGGGAGGGTTAAGACATAAAACCGGTCTCCTCTCCAGATGGCGTATTCGAGCGTTACGATCGCGAATATTTAGTCTGGATATTTTGAACATTGGTGGCGTAGTTTTCGTTACGTAATTTATTGCACCTGTGTTGTAACTGTTAATGATTTTGTAGCCAAATCAATTAGTCAACAAATCCAATTTGTAAGTGTACAGCTAATTAACATTAAAACTACTGTAAATATATGCTTGTAGAAAGTTTGTCTTACTTCCGAGCAGTTAAATATTTATTTACGTATATTTCTCGAGTGCCCTTATCGCTCTAACATGAATCATATCTCTGGGGCGGAATAAGGAAGTATCCCATTTAATCTGAATTTATGTTAGTAATGTAGTAGTAGTTTATTTACGTGACACTAAAGTTGCATAGTGGGCTATTGGGGACTGTCTGGGAAACATCTCTGAGGATGATCTGAAGACATGCCATCAGAATTTTGACCCTCTGCGGAGGATATGGCTTCCCCGATATGTGCCAAACCAAAGTGCGTAAAGTTGAGCCCTTTGGAAATCGAAAGACAAGTGGAGCTCTTCGCAAATCTGAATTAATTTATTGAGCTATAATTTCTGGGTTTTAATCAATGGATAAGTACTTCGCTTTGTTTCTTTCCTGAACTGGAGTATTATGTAGTTTACTGTTTTCAATACCGAAAAGTAAGTCACTTTTCAATTTTGTAAACGTAAGGTAGACATCTTGGTTGGCTGGAGAAACGGATGACTCTTTTTAGACCTAAACCATACGAAGGGTTCAAAAAATTAATTATGGCTAATATAATGTCCAACTCATATTCTCCAAAAATACCAATTGTTAATAAAATTTGCCACGGAATATGGAGTAATAAGTAACACTATCTTTGTTGAACCCCAACGAACGGGTAATCCAGCATTCCCAAGTCAAAACCAGCTAAACTTAAAAAAGAACTGGATTTAAAAGTCTAATTGAATATTTGAAATTTACAAGCCATAAAAAAATTCTTTTGGGCGTAAATGTACTGCCTACCACTATCAACTCATCCTCAATACACTTGCGATCTTAAACGAACACCTGTCCACCAAATTTATATTAAAAGGAATAGAACCAGAAATATCCCTAGAATCTTGAGCTACCGAAGTAAAAGCTAATTCTTGCTTACAAGTTCTTGAACTAATTTGGTTCACCAAAAGAGGTTCAAATAGAACACAAACAACTACTGTCCTGGTTAGCATTCTCGGACATATTGTACCCGAAGAAATAACAATTCGGTATTGTTTGTCTAAAATAAGTACTCCTCTAGACATTTATCTGGACCTGCGGCGGTGACTATGATAACGAGATATGACTATTTCAAGTAGGGGTGCGGGGTCACTGTTTAGGAGTGGTTTCGGCTGGTGTCGGAGAGAGAAGGGGGATCTCTTTCTTCGATCTATTGTGTTAGCCCTAGAGTTAAGAGAAATAAGCATTCGCCCCTGAAACATCGTTTAGGGCTTTCGATTCCTTTTTTTTAAATCTTTCCGCTTTTTCACAAGCTTCAGTTATGGAAAAAATTTTCAACAAATTACTTTTGTAGTAATTTTTTTCTATTTTTCATCTTTTAACTTTTTTGAATTTTGAAAAATGCCTTTTAAATTTAAGAAATTTGAAGTTTTAAAATCAGCACTATAACTAACGCATTATAAACAAGAAGCTTTTTAATAACTAACATTTTCAAAATTTCCGGAAATCTTTCATTAATTATTAAATTTAATAACTTGAATAAATTGTGCTTTTTTATGTGTCAGTTCTCTTCAGATTTTCATCAATACAATTTGTCCACATGTTATGACATGTTGAAATTGTTATTTCTATGAATAGTGATTGATAAATAGGAGAATTAATCAGTAAGGAAATTATATAAAATTGTTTAGAGCAGTTCAATGTTTTATTAATAAATAACTCTATAAATTTATTATACATTGTAAATTGGTTAAGAAAGAAAGAAAAATAAAAATAAATTTGCTAATAAAAAATTGTTGTACTTAGCTTAAACAGACAATACTAGATCTACGACATTACGCTATTTATCGACAGCCTGCTTAAAATGCATGCATTTCGATCACCCAACACGAACTTGTGATCGGGAAAAGGAATGAACCCGATGTAGGCAACCTTCAGAACATGGATCCACTAAACACGACTCTCTAAAGTTCACTGCAGCAGTACGATGCGCTCGGCGTGATTTCAATCAGCAAATCAAGAATTAGCTACCTTTCTAACTACAATGATTACCCTGGCTATAAAAGAGCAGGTTCAGCAGATAGCTCAGATCAGTGGCGTACGCAGAATTTTTTCAAGGGGGGTGTTCATAATTTTCTGAAATTACTAAAAGAAATTCGAGTATGTAAGAAAGCACTATTATTTCCCTAATTTAGACAGCTAACAATTTTGAATTCTTATTTAGACAGCATTGTTTAGTTAAATTTTGATTTGATTTTATAAGTTTAAGAACTTGGTCTGGTGTAATATCTTCTTGCATGTAATATCTTCTGAAAATAGTCCAATGTCATATGTGTGGGAAGTAACACTTTGAGGGCCACTTTCACATTCATCAGATTTTGTTATGCTAGAAACGTTTTCTTCAACGGAAGTATCACATTTCTGTACAACAGAAAAACTTACATTGGTACTAGATGCTGTCACCTCACTAATTTCAGGTCG